AAAGTTATTCTAAAGTTTTAATTAAGAAAATTATTAGTAATTGCACTAAAAAATTTCAAAGATAGCTTTTACAAAGTTAGTTTAGTAACAGGTAAATTTTTACTATTAAACTTAGTAAAATAATTCTGCAGTTTCAGTTTTACTAAAAAAACTTAGTAATAACCGTCATCGCAGTTTTAGTTTACTAAAAAAACTTAGTAATAACTGTTATTATGGCTTCGGTTTTACTAAGAAAACTTAGTAATAATCGCCATTTCAGCTTTGTAATAATTTTATTAGTAAAAAAATGTTTCCAAAGTTGCAGACGCGTTTTTTACTAAGTTTCTTAGTAAAAACCGTTTTTGAAGCCACAAAGGCATTTTTACTAGTAAAATAGCATTTCCAAAGCTACAGAGGCGTTTTTTACTATGTTTTCTTAGTAAAATAACATCTCTGAAGCCATGAAGACGTTTTTTACTATGGTTTTCTTAGTAAAATAAGGTATTTTCGAAGCTACAGAGGCACTTTTTGCTATAGTTTTCTTAGTAAAAAAGGCATTCTGAAGCTGCAGAAGCACTTTTTACTATAGTTTTTTTAGTAAGAGCCACTCCTAAAGCTTTGGAGATAGCTTTACTATTGATTCAAATCAAATCAAATATTTGAATACTTGACTTGAATTTGATCAAATCAAATCAAATATTCAAATATCAAATTGAATTGTGAAACCCTAATGTATAATATAACAATGTTTAAAAATTTTAATCAGATAATGTATTTGACTATTAAAATTTACTTTTACATTTTTAATAAAAAAATTAGATTGAATTATTTTTGAGTATCATATAACCGATTAAAAAGTTATTTATTTAATAAGTAAACAAATTTCTATTTTATTGAAATTAAGTTAAATTAGTATTAATTAAGGAAAATTAACAAGCAAGTATAAGATGATTATGGATGATTATACTTATAAAGAAATAGAGCATAAATAAACCTATAGAATAAAGTAAGTAAATTGTTGAAAATATTACAAATAAGAATAAAATCATAAATAAATTCCATCATATGCTTAAATTTAGAAAAAAAAGTTTATTTTCTATTGAAATAAATCATATTTAATACATTGTAATCAACAAAAAATGTTTCTTAAAAAATCATACTCACTGAAGTTCAAAAGTGAAACTTTTGTATATATATTCGTGATAATAGCAAAAAAACTTAAGCTCAGTATGTTGATTGGATTGAAGAACAATGGAACCTTAAAGTTAGTAAAAGTACCATTATCTGTATTTTATAAATAGCAGATAAATAACTTAGTTCAAAAACCCTTAGTCTAAATTCAAAGTGACATAAACCTATATCCAGTGTTGTCATGGGACATTTTTGGGACATGGCCTAGAACATTGGGATTTAATGTGAAAAATTTTGGGATATAGTATGGGACAGTCTCAAAATGTTTGGGACATCGAAAATGTATATCACTGCCTATATCCTATCTAAAGCTCAGGTTTGCGCTTAAAAAATTGTTTTAAACTACCAACATCAGACGATTTTAAGTGATGCGATACTTATTGAAAAAGCCAAAATAATCACTGATGGATTAGAGATTCCCTAAGATGCATTTCAATTTTCTTAAGGATAGCTTCAAAGTTTAAGGATCATAACAACATTCATTAACGAAAGCTTGAAAGAGAAGATTCATCTGCTGATGAAATTGCTATTGCTAATGCGTTATCTTTATTAGAAAGCGTTATTCCAATTACTTCCTTGAAAGAATCTATAATATGGATAAACTGGACTATTTTACAAGTAAATTTTTAGTAATACAAATTAAAAAAAATAAAAATACTTATCTTATATGATTATGGACTATAATCTGATCAGATACTTGTAACTAAATGTCTTATTGGTCTTAAGGTGAATAAAGAATACCTTTCAATCGCATTATATGTGAATACAGATAGATTATACAAGTTCAAACCCCTTAATAATTAGCAAATATGAAAGATCACATTGCTTCAAAAATGTGAGAATCCAAAATATACCTATAACTTATCACAATAATGCTAAAGCCTAGATGATCACGTCACTTTTTCAAGTGTAGATTTGGAAATTTGATCACTAAATTAGTTTAAAGTATCAAGGCCAACGTATATATATTACTTCTTCTTGATAACTATTCCAGCTATAAGTTAGTCAGCCTTACCTTACTATATACTGATGTTTATTTTTTATTCCTAAATATGACCTCAAGAATTTAACTGATGAATTTTGAAATCATCATGACATTTAAAAGGTATTATCGTCATTTTTATGTATAGTAAGGTATATCTACAAATAAATATGTTATATATTATAAATATATTATAAATGCTCAAAATTTAATTATTTACTTTTTAAAAGTTTAATGCTTCAACATGTAAAAGCAGGTAGCCACGCAAAGAACTTATGTATAGATATCTTGCAGGCTATTCATTTTATTATTCAAGCCTGAGATGAGTTTAATATTAATACAGTTCGTAATTACTATCATACAAAGATTCTTTCCACTCATATCAATGCAGACCAGTGATGACAAATGACCAGGTCATTTGACTAATTTTCAAATGACCTGAAGTCATGTCAAAATGATCTTGGTCATTGAGTTATGAGTCATTTGCAAATGACTTGAATTCTAAATGACAACAAATCATCTATGAATAAATTTCACAAATCCATAATACTTAAAAATGATCTGGATATCTAAATTTTGCATAAGGATTTTTCTTAAATTTTAATTTTGTAAGTAAATTCAGAAACATTTAAAATTTCATTAGTTAGTTTTATTTACATACTTATAAAAAAATAATATTTTATTGAGTTTTTGAAGTATTTTGTTTTAACATTCACAAAATATTATAAAATGACCTAGGTCATAGGTCATTTAACTTTTAAAGTAACTTAATGACTAGTGACCAGTTATCAAAGTCATTTGGGTCATTTCAAGTCACTTGCCATCACTTATGCAAACACAAATCTGAGAGCTATTTTAGAAAATAAAGATTCAGTACTTGATGATCTTACGGATGCACTTCAAGTCCCTAATTTTTCTAATAAGATGCACTTAGAAAAATACATTAATATCCCTAAAAGAGAATGTTATTTACAAAGCTCCTAAAGATGATCAAATTATTGAGAAACTTATAAGGATCAATGTCCTTGGCTCAGTGGTTAAACTGTAAATCTCCTATAAGCTAAAGTTTCATTATACAGTAATAGGCCATTAGTTCAGGTATTGGCCAATATATAAAATTAGATTATTTTCATAAGAATTTCATATGTGGCTGAATTGATAGGCGTATGTATTAACATGCGTACAATCTGGTTGATTGATCTATCAATCAATGTTAATCATGCCTAAATACTTCACGATGTTAAAATATGTAGATGCAAATGAAGCCTAGGATCGATAGAAACTTGGTCTTCGCTAATTAGTCTGTAATGAATACAATAAAAAAAACTCTCTTCCTCGTTGGATTCAATCCAAGAATTTTTACATAAAAAACGTGTCTGTTTAAGGGTGACTACAGTTTAGCCTGCAAACAAAACAAAAACCTCTTATCAAATTTATCTTCTCTTTGTTACCTATACCCCTATCCATATAAAATTGGCAAAATAGTTTAAACTAACACCGACTCTCTTCCTAGCTCAATTAAGTTAACTTCATATTTAGCAAGATTTAGTTTTGACGTCATATAAAAATATAGTCTACCATTTATATCCTTTGTTTTGAGCACTCATAATCTTGATGTCATTTGAATACAGGCAACTGTTACCTGAATCGCATCATAAATCTCATTATGAGAAAATTTCTGTCCAGATACACACATATCAATTAGATCATCCTATACAAAGTAATCATTGAAATTTGTAATTTTGGATCATTCTAATTTTATGAGACTTGAAATCTTTTGTTCTCGATCCAAGGCAGTTTTGCTAATATTAAGTTTTTTCAAAAGCTTTCTTATCCCAGGTTGTTTATTTTGATTTGCATGATAGCAGAAAAAGCTATAGGATTTTTTATTTTGAATAATATATGCATTATTACTATCATATTCTCGGTCACATATCAGACAGTACAATGGAGAGATACGTGATAATGGAAATTTGTCAGAAAAGTTTTTAAATAGATATGAGAAACTATATTCTTTGATGCTAGCTTTTTGAAGTAAACCTTCTACCAGTTTGAATTCAGCATCAGTGGTAACATTATTTATGCTAAGACATCTTCCCATTTCTGACTCCAGAATAATTAAGAGAGGACTTTCTGCGATTTCTGATTCATCATTTGGTAGGCGAATCATGAAGTCAAAAATGGTTCTATCTTTAAGATGCATTTCTTTTTTTACATGAACTTGCTCCTTTATTTTTTCATCATACTTAAGCAAACCAAGCATTCGCAAGGAAAATGAATGTTTATTTACAATATTATTTATAATACAGTGAACTCTTGATATAACAAATTCTAAAATCTGGATATCAACTTCGTTATAAGCTTATAATAAATTTTTTAAAGAATTTAATTGGATAGTTCACTATAATAAGGTAATTTTAATATATTTGATTTAAAAATTCGCTATATCAAGAGTTCGTTGTATTAAAGTTTGACTGTACTATTTTCCTGAAGAGACGCTAGAAGTTTTTTACGAATAAGTTCAGTGAATAATATGACCTGAGTAATATTCTTAAGTCTCATACCAATAGTAGAAATGTGAAGGAATATTTTTTTCGTATCAGTATTATTGGCAACAGTAATACTATTTTTTCTTACTTTAGAAATATTTCAAGACAAACATCTCTAAAGACACAATTGAGTGTATCTAGTATTTTTTTACATATAAGCTTAAGTTCAATGCCATCATATACCTCTCGTGGTAGATTAAAATCAATAATAGGTTAGAGTGGCTTATCACCATCAATAAATTCATGTAAGGAATGACTTTCAGTATCTGAGAGTATAGCTTCTATTTCATCCGCATTGTCTGTGCCAAAGAAATATCTTGGTCTAATACTATCATCCCAAATCTTATATAAATATGCGTCTATATTAGAGGCTTTAAATTTACAATAGTATAGAGCAGGGTGTTAAGAAAGTCTGAAAGTACAGATTGGATCATAGGTCAAAATTCAGCATAAATCAGCTTAAAATCAGTCAACAATTAGCAAAAATAATTAAGCAACTATTTATAAAATTGAAACTAATAAAACTCATTTTTTGTTTATTTATAATTTATAATTTTATTTTATTATTACATAATAAATTACTTAAAAAAAATATATATTGTATTATATTTTATTTAAAAAAAATACATTTGATTTTTAAAGATAAGAAAAAATAAAGAAATCAATTAGAAAATCTACTAAAACTACTTCTGAAAAGCTAACCTTAATTTATTTCTAAAAAAAAATGAAGAAAAAATAAAGAAAACAATTAGAAAACCACCAAATACTACCTCCAAAAGGCTTACCTTAATGTATTCCTAAAAAAAATAAGGAATCAGTTAGAAAACTACCAAAATACCATTTCTGAAAGGCTTACCTTAATGTATTTCTAAAAAAATAAAGAAAAAATAAAGAAAACAGTTAAAAAACTACCAAAATATCACCTTCGAAAGCCTTATCTTAATGTATTCCTAAAAAAGTAAAAAAAAAATAAAGAAAATAGTTAGAAAACCCACTAAAATATCATCTCTGAATAATGTATTCTATAAAAAGTAAAGAAAAAATAAAGAAAACAATTAGAAAACCATCAAAATATCACCTTTGAAAGGCTTATCTTAATGTATTCCTAAAATAAAGTAAAGAAAACAGTCAGAAAACCCACCAAAATATAACCTCTGAAAGGCGGCTTACCTTAATGTATTCCTAAAGAAAGTAAAGAAAAAATAAAGAAAACAGTTAGAAAATTACAAAATATCATCTTTGAAAGACTTATCTTAATGTATTCCTAAAAAAATAAAGAAAAAATAAAGAAATCAGTTAAAAAACTACCAAAATACCTTTGAAAGGCTTACCTTAATGTATTCCTAAAAAAAGTAAAGAAAAAATAAAAAAAAAAGGTTAAAAACCATTCAAAAGTACCTTCTGAAAGGCTTACCTTAACTTTGAAAAGACAATTTTTTTAAAAAAAATCAAAGAAAAACAAAAAAAAAGTTACTTCTGATTTGCTTACCTTAATTTCCAAAATAAGAATTTCCTAAAAAAACAAGAAAAAGAAAGGAAAATGCCACAAAGTCACTTCTGATTCACTTACCTTAATTTCAAAATAAGAATTTTCTAAAAAAAAAAGAAAAAAGTAAGAAAAAGATTAAATTTTCACACAAAAATTGCCTCAATAGGAAAAAAAAAAGGAAGAAATAATTTTTTTTGGAATATTTTGAAAGTTTAACAGTTTTATATTATAAACTAAACTAAAATTTCAATTAATCTGAAATTTAGATATTATTTATACTATTTATCATAAATGTTCTAAATAGATGATTTTACATCATTCTTTTTAGAATGATGATGTATCGTTCCTTAAAAATGATGAAAAATCGTTTTTTAGAATGATGATAAATCATTTCGAAAAAATAATAAAAATCATTGTTCTTTTCAGAAAGATGATGTATTGTTCTGAAAGAATGATAAAAAAACTATCATTTTTTCAGAACAATGATGTATTGTTCTAATAGAATGATGAAAAATCATTCTTTTGGAATAATGATGTATTGTTCTGAAAGAACAATAAAAAAAATCATTATTCTTTCAGAACGATGATGTATTGTTCCAATAGAATGATGAAAAAACATTATTCTTTTCAGAACGATGATGTATTGTTCTGAAAAAAAATAAAAAAATCATTGTTTTTTCAGAACAATAATGTATCATTCCAATAGAATAATGAAAAAATCATTCTTTCGGAATGATAATGTATCATTCTGAAAGAATGATAAAAAAATCATCGTTCTTTTGGAATGATAATGTATCATTCCAATAGAATAATAACAAAAATTTTTCTTTCAGAATGATAATTGAATTGTTCCTTTTGGATGATTTCTATTGTCTCTTTGGAAATGATATTTAATTCCTTTAGGGATAATTTTTATCATCTTTTTGGGAATGAATGTTCGTTCCTTTTGAGACGATTTCTATCATTCTTTTGAAAATGATTGTTCATTTTTTTAGGAACGATTTCTATCATTCCTTTGGAGACGATTGTTCGTTTCTTTGAGGATAAATTTATCATCTCTTTAAAAATGATTATTTGTTCCTTTAGAGATGATTCCTATCATTCATTTGGTAACAATTGTTGTTCTTTTAGGGATGATTTCTATCATTCCTTTGAAGACGAATTCTATTGTCTTTTTGGAAATGATTGTTTATTTCTTTAGAGACGATTTCAATCATCTTTTTGAAGACGATTGTTTGTTCCTTTAGGGATAATTTCTATTGTCTCTTTAGGATAATTACTCTTGAAATGTTTTTATAATTTCGCAAAAATCGGCTTAACAGATTTTGACCAATGAGATACAATCGATTTGTTGCCAAATCTTGGGTCTAACTGAAATTTTGCTGAATATTATAACCGAAAGGTCTTAATGTCAAAATAATGCTAAATTATGTACAGTATAACAAATGACTATTGATTTTTGTAATTTAAGCTGAATTTTATTGAATCACATGACTAAATTGGATAAATGTTAACCAAATGGTAATAGTGCCGAAAGAAATGATTTCGACTAGTATATGCATATATCTTAAATTATGTATGAAAGCAAAATGTTTTTCTTACTATGAGTCTTATATTTAGGAAAACAAAATGATAGATACTAATTACTTAGAAGTTATTGTTAAAAATGGTAATAATAAATTCATAGTCAGTACTTTTTAAACTTGTAATATTAATGGATTCAAAAACTATGTTGCAGGAGAAATTAATACTATTCACTTTGATCTCTATAAAAATAGCATACATCTAAAAAATCTAATGGATAGAAAGGATACACTTCTTAATTATTTTGATACTGTTGATGATAGTAATTTAACAGTCATTGTACATTTCACTACCCCTAAAACTCCCTCTAGCAAATAGATTCACATTATGTAAAGCAATATATTCGTAATTTTTATGTTTTGTAAGCCAGCTTCCCAGTAACGTTTTTATTTCTTAAATAACATTCTTATCATAAATCTTGAAAAATTTCAAGTGTAATGATGTAATATAATCACCTGACAATCCTGTATTACATCTTAATTACATATATATTAGGTAAATGCATTATAAATTAATACAAAAAAATCTATCATTTCTATCCAAGCGCTAGAAACCAAAAATATTTTTATATCTATAAATCAGCTTTACCTATTTGTAATCAAGTGCATATTTTTCGCAAGTACAAATACACATATATAAAAATCATGTCTTTACAAGCTTCTTCATCTGCTTCACCAATCTCAATAACAAAAGAAATTTCTACTAGAACAATGTTAGACGTGGTTAAGAATTTTAATACAGAGAAGCTTATTGAATATTTGAAAAAGAAAAACTTGAAGCTAAAGTAGTTTCACTTCTAAATTTTATGTAAAGAAAAAATTTCTGGCATCACCTTTCTTGATATAACTAAAGAAGAATTTCAAAGTTATGGCTTGAAAGCTAGTCCTGCAACAACACTTGCAAAATTTATCGAAGGTCTCAGCCAAAAATCAAAAACTATTTCTCACTCAAAACTCTTGATGACTTGAAAGAAATGTTGTGTAAAAATAAGGTCAATGGGGAAGATATAATGAGTATCAAATAATTTACTTCTGGTAGATAATTAATTAATTTTTCAAAACTGACTAGTTGGCTATACTAACCTTATTTTTTTTCGTAATCTTCAAAAATATTAATGATGATGATAAGATGCTTAATTATTGTATAGATGATACTATTTTAAAACTTTTAAACATGAAGACCATGACCAACGCCAATGAGACGACTCATTGTGAATTTATTTCATCGATTCTTTATGCATCTATTGCTATAACTAAAAATCTTACCTCTCAAAATATATTCATAGTTTTACAAAAGGACGTTTCTGGTGAAGATGCAACAAGTCAAGTAGACTATACGATCAAAAGTTTGAAAGACATCCTATGTGTTGCTAAGGAGAAATCATGCAATATTAAGATTGGATATGCCCAAGTAGATTTACTACTCAGATCGTGTTTTAAAGATTTAATAATATTAACAAGTTTTATCTTTTAGAATCTAATGCAACTTAAGAGTACATTTCAGACAAATAAAAAGAAACGGACTGCGGATCAGGCATTTGGAAATGATTATTTTGATTACATCTATGGTATTGTGATTACAAGTACGGAGTGGCATTTTATCATATACACTTCAGATGGTATTTACTCTATAAGCGCTAGTAAGTATCAGATTAATCTTATGGAATCTGCTATTAAAGAAAATTCTGAATTACTTTGAAGTAATGTAAAAAGGATAATTGGTATTATTATTGGATTGTTGAAGGATCGTATTAGTGTTGATAGTTTCTCAGCTAGCAAGAGGGCTAGGATCAAAAAATTTATCAAAAAATAATATGTATCATTGGCTACGTCCTGATCTATGTATTATTTTCACATTGTAATAATAAAAAATTTTCTTGGCAAAATTTCATTTATCTCAGATAAGGGAAATCACATGATTTTTATTTTGAATTCTCATATACAGTGTATTAGTTATAGATCATATTAATTGAGCAAGAATTATTGAAGTAATGCAATAATGAGCTTGAGGCTAAGAATGTTTCACTTAGAAGAAAATTTGCTGATTTTGAGATTGAGAAAACTAATTCTGAAGCAGATTGCTGAGCTTCTAAAACAGGCTGTGGAAGAAAATAAAAGACATAATATTGAAAATGCTGAACTCAAGATCAGAATTGAGGAGTTGGATAAAAGCAAGATAGATTCTTCAGCTGAGAATGTTAAACGTGATGTTGAATTTGCTAAGTTAAAGGCTGAAGTAGTGAAACTAATAGATAATAATGAGGAGATCAAACAGCAAACTTATGATATTTCTTTTGAGAAAGTTATTAATATACCTAGCTCTATTGTAGATCAATACAACCAAGTCAATCAAAGTGCCTTTCAGTTATCTTCACCTGTGAGTTATCAGAAGTTATTGGAGAATGAGAAAACAAACTCTTTTTTGGATGATGTTGATAAGAAAAGGTTAGTGATAGTAATACTTGACGAAATTACCTTTTTTAATATGACGAAATTGACAAAACTGAAATAACAAAACTAGTTTTTTATTAATGACAAAATTATTTTACTTAATTGCTGAAATTATATTTAACTTGATCTAAATTCCTTGTATTAAATACATTAAAAAATATAATAATTTTATATTTATTCATATAAAAATATTAAAAAGACGAAACTTTTGACAAAATTACAATTTTTCAAAAAAGAGTTTAGTCAGGTATCACTAGTTAGTGATAAAATAAGGCAGAGAAATAGGAAGAAGAAAATTCAATGTAAGTTAACTGTTTCTTTCAACTTATTGCTTGTTACAGAAACTTCTCTAAGAAATAATGAAATCGAAAGTAACATAAAACCTTTTCTCAGAAAATGATCAGCAAAAAACTATTCCAAGACTGGAACTTAAGTCTACCACTAACGATTTCGATGAGATTGAGCTTACTAAAAATCAGAATATAGAATTTGATCTAATACATGATTTACATAATTGTAGTATCGTTGCTCCACCTAATGAATAGCATTTGACTATAAAATCATCTGAAGTGTCTTGCAATCAAGTCACAAAATAAAATTTAATCCATTTGTTTAGAAATACAATACAAGTTAGACATGAGGAGATTTTATCCTAGATTTGTTATTCAGATAATTTTGAAGATAAAGTTGCTGAGATTTATCGTGATACAGGAGTTATTGATAAAACTACAAGAATACAAATATATAAGAAATGTTAGAACATCTAATTAGTGTTACACTAGTTGTCTTACAGATTAAAACTCTTAGAGCCAAAAAAATTCGCAAATTATTTGAAAAGAATGGTGTAAGAATTGATAAAATTAAGTATGTTACTTATAGTGCAAATGAGATTTCAAAATTAACTAATGCACAAATTCAAAATGTTATAGATCAAGTAACCTCAAAAACTGTTTTCTTAAGAAACAATCAGAATCATGTATCTTCAAAAATCACCAATGGTGATCAAACTAATGCATATTCAAAACTTGAGGTAAATGTCTCTATCACATCTTATCCACCAATTCTTAGGACTAATTCAACTTATGACTAAACCCTTTTTGCAACAAAATATTGGATCAATATCCTATTTTATATAGTAGCGAAAATTTCAATTATTATAAAATTACTAACAAGATATCATGCTTGTTGTACAAGTTAGACTATAGCTATGAAGAAAGCATAGAAGATAGATATAAAATCAGATCCTATTTTATTAAATGTGAATAACGCGAAATTGAAATAACTGCATAGTCTCATTATTTTATGATATTACATTTGTTCACACTTCATTATGTGATATTTTTTTTACAAATCAACTACTACCTAATTAAATTTAAATTGATTCATATAAAAAGCAACATAACCAAGTTCGATAAAATATTAATTCCCAAATATCTGAATTAGCATGTCAAATTAAATGAGTTACCAAGTATTTTGACAAATAAGATTTGTATCAAATTATACAAAAGATATAAAAAAGAAACTGGATGTGAACCATGGCAATTACCAGAAGCTGTGACAAGTGTATCAGCAAAACCTCAAACCTCTGATTACAAACCTATCACTTATGAAGTTATACACTATTCAGGATTAATTATTAAATCTGTCTTAATGTATTTTACATACCTGAAATTCTGAAATAGTTTTAGGGGATTGATAATTATAATTTTATGAAAAAAACAAAAAAAAACTCTTTCCCACAAACGTCCAGTTCACTAAAAAAGGTCGACAAAAACAAAAAATGTCAGTTACTAGAGCGACTTCTTTTAAATAACAAAATAATAAAACCTATCAATGAAACAAATATTACACTTCAGTTCTTGACTCCACTATTACTAGTTCTTCTTCTAAAATAATTAAACCCAACGAAAAACTTTTCTTCAAAAAACAAAAAAACTTTGACACTTTCTAACGAAGACATATTTAACTCAAATATCAAAAATATTTCAATGAGCGAAACTTCAAATAACAGTTATGTTATTTCACTAAACTAAACAACTGACAATAATGTTCTTTCTGCTGAGGTACCTTTAGAAATGGAAGTTGATGAATCTACTCCTCTACAACCAAATATTTCAAAGTAAATAACAAATGAATCTATGTATGCTAAAAATAACAGATAACATTTTTAATGATACCGGTTTCAATATTATCCTTCCTATTTATAACAAAGATAAATAAAGCAAACTTGGTCTGAAGAAATTGAACAAAATGAAAAAATATGTGACCAAGAAAATCAAGGGGTTTCTTTCAATATCATCATTACTCTCACACATTTTTTCGCAACTGACAACGCATCAGATATAAAAGGAAAAACTATAGCTAAAAAACACACATTTATCAATCCTCTTTTCATACGTTTTAATGGCTATCAAGACTCTTCTTATGTTTCCAAATTTAGAAAATTCTTAGTTTATTTCTGATCAATAAAGGAATTAACATATACTATTACAAAAGTATAGGAGTCACAATATAATCTGGTATTTACTATTATTGACTCTGCAGAAAAAAGATTAAACAAGATGCTGAAAAAGGAAGAGTCCTGAAAGTGTCAGATATTTCTTATTTGTTAAATCTGATGTACTACAAAATTTCTTCTCTAAATATAGAACGATCACTAGATTTTCAATGATCGTTCAAGGCCCATGGCAGATTGCATTCATTGTCTTCAAAAATGTTGACATCATTCAACCATTTTATGATAAACACTGGTCCATTCAATTTCTTGATACTGCACTCAGAGTTAAACCAACAGATCTTAACTTTTTACAAACTGCTTTACAACAACAATTTGAGTTACAACTCATAGGCCTTCTATTTAACACAGACTAATAACAACTTAGTGATTTTCTCATGCATATCAATATCAGATCATGTTTCATTCCATGTGATCAACAATATTGATTAAGACCATATCATATGTCTTATTAATTTTACCATTCTTGAAGACCTAGATACTGCAGCTACGCAATCACAAAAATTCAAAGAAAAGATTCTTTATTGGATGGAAACTTCTATCAAACATTGTCGAAGCTGTGACGCTCCTGACCATGAATTCAAAGAATGCACCAATCATAAATCAGCAAACTCCTATAAATCACTTTATGATCACTTCAAACCTGAATCATATTGTTCACTGAGAAATAACACTTCTAAAATAGATCCAATAATAATACTTCCTACGCTGATACTCTTAAAAATAATCATTTCAAATAAGACAACAAACAATCCTCATCTACTAACCCAAATTTTGTCAAAAATTAGTCTAAGAAAGACTCAATAATATTGATAACAAACTACTTATAATCAGTGATAAAATTGTATCTATCAAAAATGATCTTCTTGAAATCCAACAAAATGAAGAGAACATCAGTTTTTGTCTAAATCGTCTTGAAGTAATGCATAATATTGAATACGACGTGAATCACACTACTGACCCCAAATATGTTTTCCCATCACATGATGAATTTCTAATATCTGAAGACATTACTTCACCTGTAGAAATCGCTCAAATAATAATTAATGATCACGAATAAAATATTCCAAAAACTTCAACCAATGATAATCTTCAACGAATAAACATAGTTGAAACCTCAATTAATGATATCAAAACAGAAATGAGAAATTTGATTACTACCATCAGCCCTATGATTCAATTGTTTACCATTCCCAAATGATTATATATCCTTCTCTCACTAATAGTAACAGAACGTATTCAACGATTCCATTCAATAATAATATTACAAACGCAAATTTATTATCATCTATTAACAATCCTAACTTACTTTCAATTGCGACTCATAATGTCAGAAGAGGATCCTGAACTATACTAATATAACTCACATTTGAGTTTGCATAGAGTTTATATGTAAACTTTGCCAAAAGTTGCTTATTTTTACAAATTTACTTATCCTACATATCCCATTATCTCAATAACCAGTGATTCAATTTAATGCAAATTATACCATTGGATTTGTCTAACTGAGAGGAATTTAATGGTAGTAATTTTCATCTTTTTAGCATTAATATTGACCAAGTTATACTATATAATATAATTTTAATTGTGTGTTTGTACTACATTTGTGAGTTCTATTAGTATAGTTTGGGGTTCTGTCAGAAGCTGTGTTTCTTCAACTCATCTTTAACAAATAGAACAATTCTTTATCAACTTTAATCTAGATATCCTTGGTTTAAGCAAAACTCTTCTCACCTATTTACAAGCTAGAAATCTTAATCATAATTTTCACAATAAGCCTTATAAATTTTTTTTCATAATTCTAATTGTTTTCAAAATTGTCAGGGTGTAGGTTTAATCATTAGAAATAATCTATGTTTACATCTATTTAATCAAGACTTTTTCTTCGATTGAATACTATATTTAGATTTTTAATTTAAAAACAATTTTAAACTACACGTTATTCAAATTTATCTTTCTGCTAGTTATCATGACAAAAACTTTTTTCAACATAGAATTCAAATTCAAACCAAATTAATTGATCTTTTAGTCCAAAGTCAAAGAAACAACTTTCACATTATACTCATAGGCAATTTTAATATTGATATCTTAAGGACTTATAAATCAAAATGTAAACAAACTCTACAAAACTTTCTACATAATATCATTAATCTTGGTTTCCTTTATTCTATCTTTCCTTTCAATCCTTCTTTTTCTCCTACTTTCAAATCAACCTCTAACTCTTACTTCTCTCATATTAATTATATATTTGTCTCATTTTCTCTTGCACACGATCTTGTATTTTTTGATATACTTAACGATTCCTCCTTCTTGTATTCAACTGATCACTATCCTCTTCTAATCTCATTTTATAAAAATATTTTTTCAATCAGTCATCAAATGCTTACTCTAAACAACACAAAGTTACAAAGAAGAATTTCCTTTTTAATAAGACTATTCTACTTTAATGGGATTTCTTTGCTGATAAAATAGACCTAATACTTAAAACAAACCCAAAATACAAAAACTGCATAACGTAGGATTTTTGTGTTTTTCAGTTTAAACTAAATTCTGCTTAGGATTTCTTTATTAATACTGTCTTAACTTCAATCAAAAAACACTTACCTAAATAAATAACCACTTCCTGTCATAATTCTCTATCCATATGCTCTAACTCTACTATTCACAAACAAATTAATAAGTTATATAAAATTTATTACAAGTTAAAAAAAAGCTCTTCTTCTACCATATTTTCCAACCTTTCCTTTCCAATTACATTTAACGAACACAAAATTTTGCTTACAATTGCTTCCCAAAATTTTATTTCTATGTCTTCAATTGATAATCATTTCTCAAATAATCACCTTCTGAATTATCTAAACGAATTAAAAACAGATATTATTAAACCTATGCAAGCTAAATAACATATTGTTTCTCGAACTGAAAATAATGAAAAGAATATTAGAGTTTATAAAACAAAGGAATGAGAACTTTAAAGACTCTTCTACTAAAATGATTGATTCATGTCTTGAAAGGAATAGGAAAGCCATCATTCTTGATAAAGTTATGGTCAATGCTGACACTTCATCATAACATCTAGTACTTATATCAGATGATATCAAAGCTCATACAGCGATTCATTTCCAAACCATCACTAGATCCAAAAACAGAAATGTCATAAACTGACTTTCAAATGATTTTAATCCATATTGAAACGATTGGCAACACTACTACAATCCTATTAACACTATTTTTAATGATTTTTATTATGGAATTATGGATATCCCTTCATATGATAAATGGTTGTCTATATTAAAACATCTGCCTGATCATAAAGCTCCTAAATACTTAATGAAATGTTGAAAAAACTAGGCCCAAGAATTAACAAATTTTATATACTATTATCTGTGTCTGTTTTATTGGTTCGTAGATACCTACACAATAGAATTTAGCATATGTATATCCAAATCTAAAACCAAAAGCTTGGAATTGCAATTTAGATAATATATGTCCTATTACGTTTTTCAATACTGTCTGAAAAGCATTTGTTAAAATATTAAATCAAAGGCTATAGAACATATTTATTAAACACAACATACTTAAAGGCCTCAATTTTGCTGGTTTATCACATCAATCAACAATGGAATCATTAGGGTTCCTCAAAATCGAATTGAATCAAATATTTAAGCAATTTGAATTTGATTTGATTTTTTCAAATCAAATCGAATCGAATCGAATTGAACTCAAATATTTGATCGAATCAAATCAAATTGAATCAAATATTTGTCAAATCAAATCAAATCAAATCAAATATAAAAAAATTTTTAATTTTTACAATGATATATTAAAATAAAGTTATTATAAAGGTTTAATTAAGAAAATTATTAGTAATTGCACTAAAAAATTTCAAAAATAGTTTTTACAAAGTAAGTTTAGTAACAGGTGAATTTTTACTATTAAACTTAGTAAAATAACTTCACAATCTCAGTTTTACTAAGAAAATTTAGTAATAACTGCCATTGTGGCTTTAGTTTACTAAGAAAACTTAGTAATAACTGCTATCGCAGCTTTAGTTTACTAAGCAAACTTAGTAATAACTGCCATCGCAGCTTCATATTACACTTGCTAAAAGAAGATTAACTGATATTTGTCAGAATTTGTGAAATTGCCAAATAATAATTCTGCGAATATTCCATAGCATTTTAAAGATAATTTCCTTTATGGTACCTTCTGGTTGAATTTTTGAATTAGTAGTAATCAGGCCTTTCTTTTTGATTGGTAAGGTTATTTGTATTACAGGTAATTAGTCTAAGAATGTGCAAGATCAGTTTTGATTTAGTTTGGCTTTTATTATTTTTATAGTATAAATTAAATTAAATAGAAATTTTCATTTTTTCATGAATTTGTTTTTATACTTTTGTATAAATATATCATTTCAATAAAGATTTAGCAAAACTACCACACATTTAAAAAAAAAATAATAAGAATATTCAAAAAAACTCTTTTTACTAATTCACTCAATCATGTTTCAGCAAATAAAAAGTAAAAAAACCTTTAATAATAATCCAAGAAAAAAAGCATAATACAGCTGTTCTATTTCACCAATAAATAAAAGAGCAACTAAGAAACTTCAACTAGATATCATAGACTACTCAACTCTCATAATAACTAACAATACTGAAAATAATAAAACCAAAAAAATTGAAATTGAAGTCGATCCAATTCCTTCAACTTTTAACGATAAAGGAAATAACTTAAAATTATTGCTATACCTAATGACCAATATGGTTAATATGAAAGTTTTGATATTTCTGAGAATTTCTTAGGATTTAAAAAACCTAACATTAACAATATTATTAACTTTGAGAGGGTAGACAATACCATCATCTTCTTTGCTTACTATGTCAGTGAAGATTTTCTTACAGATCAATCAAATAAAGAAAAGTTTAATGTAGCTAATAAAATCTTTAATAGATCCAATTGATCTCTTTCATTATTATATCTATTAAACCTTACCCTGAAAATAAATAAACTAAAATAGTTTGTATTGGTTTTTCACTTTTGTAAACTACGAACATATAATAACAATAATCAGACAATTGTATATTTCTCCCCTTAACTATAATAAATGTAGCTAAAATTCACCTCTGAACTGTCAATAAAATTACAGAGATTCTGATCTTTACTCTAATCCAGAATGTTAGATTATTATTTGCCTTTTTCAGTAAAATAGCTCATTGCCTTTGAATAAGAAAGTAATTTGTCTTAATTAAATAATGTTCATGGGTACTTTATTCTTAAAAATATAATTCATATACACTGCTATACTTTAACTAATACTGATATTAGGAAAAAATCTAAATATTCACTAAAGCTTACCAATCTACTGATGAATACAAATGACTGGCAATTAATTCCTATTAGAAAAGTTGTCAAAGCTATATCTTTTGTAATTCCAAAATCAAAGTCAAATTACAAAAACCTTCAATATGCTGTCTTTTATTTCAAAAATAAACAAGATTTAGTTGACGTATAAAATGAAAACACTATTTATTTAGATTATAAAAGACTTATTTGGATAGACCCAAATAGTAAACTTTGTTTCATTTATTCTATATCAGGTTACTGATTAGACAATTGCAAGAAAGCCTGACATAGTCTTAAGAATCAATAAACTTAAAATTTATATCAATATTACCAACCTGCTCAATTTAAGAATTACACTGTACCTTCTAAACTATTCTCTAAATCTATTTCTTTTGCTCATGTGATGAGTAATAGAGTAATAGAAAAGATAATAGACCAAAGGATTCCAAACTAACACTTAAAGCCAATATTTTACAACCAAATGTAAGAATTGACAATCAAATTTAAAGATGATACAGCAATTGATTTCAAATTTACAAAATGTTGCAATATAAGCTAAAATTAGTTGCAACATATGTTGCAACATTATAAGTTGCAACATATATAGATTAAAACTAATTGCAACGTAAGTTGCAACATTAAAAGTTGCAACATATTAATTACAGTTCCCATCTTTAATCAAATTACATATGATAATTCCTTAGATGCAAGCATTCATGAATATAACTCTTGGACTGATAAAACTGAATATAGTCATCCTTTACCTAAAAACCAATTAATGATATATATGGTTATAGCAACTCTAACAAATTGGATCAACTTATGATAAAATTAGATGCAATTACCAGCTAACTTGAAAAAATGCATGATGACCTCAAATTCACCAATGAAAGAGTTATTACTATGAAAATACTCTTAAATGTTTACTCTACCTTTCCTAAACAAGCTGTTACTATTAATACCTACCCAACACGTGAAAAAATGAAAGAAAATGACTATATTATGAAAGCTAGTATTAACACTTCTGAATCAATCATAATCGCACACAAGTTTGATATCAACAATCTCAAAGAAGAGAACTCTTATCTCAAACGTAATTTACAAAGAAAATGTCGTAAAATTAAACGAAACTCTAAAAGCTATAGATATTATGTAACAAGTATATATCATATTATAAATATTATAAATGCTTTATGCTTATATTTTTTTCAATCTTTTAAGATACATCATCAGAATATCTTTATGACTTTTGTATTAAAACTTCACTCATAAACTTGTAACAAATTCATCATAATATTATACCAAAAAAGATTACAATGTAAATAACACAATATATAATTAATTAAATAATATATCAAATATCAATTTTAGATAGTAGATATGCGGTTTGAAAAACTTGAGTCTTGTATTTATGATTATCTTCATGATATTGAAGTGTGGATATCACAAGATATTGAAAATAAAATCATTCAAATCAAAGTATTTGAGTTTGTATACTTAAATAACAATTATATTTATTTTTATTATGTATCTTCTAATTATTTTAGACAATTGATCTTTTCAGATATTTGTATTAAAATAAATAAATTAAAACAAAATAATTATTTAATAGATAATAGTTTATGCTATGCAAAGGTTTAAACAATCTTATAAATTTAACTATATTATAAATACAGAATTAATATGATGTTTATTATTTGATTATCCTTTGCATTACTTCAAGAAAATTAAAATAATATCTTAATCTTACTATTGTTTATTGGTATGACTTTGCAGATACATGACATTGCTATTTTAAAAATGTGTTATTCTTAAATATATTAAGCATTATATTTTAATTCCTATTGCATATCATACCAAAATTTATTGAATATTATTAAATAAATGCTTATTAATTAAATAATATTTTAATGTTTATTTCATACTAATTTTTTAGTAATTTATAAATATTAAAATAAAGTATTTTATATATATATTTTTTTAAATTAGCATTTATAAAGTATTTGTAATTTAATATTTATTTTATATTATATTATAGTAATAATATATATTTTTTTAAATATAATAAATGTTTTTTAATTATTAACCATTTAATAAATACAAATTTTAAATGCTTACAATTGATTGCTATTTAAAAATATAAGAAAATCATTTAACTAACTTCATGATGATATTAAAGAACTCAATATTTTATCATTTTTACTTCAGACCTGATTCGTAAATAATGAAACTTATGGAACTTAGGACGTTCTCAAGCACCTAACTCAATTGATCAGAGAAATAATTTTATTAGTGAAAATTAGTTTAATCATTTATCATTTCAATAAAAAAACTTTTTGGCTACATATTACCTTTTTTTTATAAAGCTATGCTGATTGACTAAAATTTATTATTGATAAAATATAAATTGAAATCATTTAAGTATTTTAATTTTTCATATGTTTACATTATATATTAACCTGAATAAATTATCTTTCTACTTTTTATAAAAATTTTTATAGCAAGTAAAAAGTACTAAGAAAATCAAATAAAAAAAATAACTGATATCTACAATCTTTTGGCTTTTGCTTAAATACCAGCAAATATAACTATTCCATTTGTATTTTTCACCTAATATAAGAAGAGTCTGATTTTAATCAAGTCCTAAAACTAGTGGATTCCGAACTGAAGTATTCCGATCTTTATCAGATAATGAGGATTATAATTCCTTTTGACATCATTTTTGTATTACTCTTACCATATTTAACATAATAGTTATTCGATTAAAAACTCACCCAGTCTTTAATTTGGAAATTCCTAATATTATACCTATATGGAAGCAAATTGCAATTGTATTATAGTGATTAACTAATAGAACAAGTATGCAAATATTAGAGCAAACACTCAGAATAAGTCAAGGATCAATAATTTATTTTACAGATTGATTTTTAGAAGCATTACTGAATTTGAAGCAAAAAAAAATAATATGATCACAAGGAATACAATTGGCAACTGTAATATAAGGTTTTAAATATGAAATAACCAGTTTAGCATATAATTTACCTAATGTTATTAGTATTATAGATGGATTACATATACCAATTTGTCCTCCTTTTAAGAATAGTACATGTTTTGTAAATCATAAGAGTTTTTATTCTATTAATTTTCTTAGAGTTGTGAATCATCAAAAAAGGTTTACTTATATACATATTGGAGAGGCAGATTAGTAAAAAATTATTTTATTTGATTTTTTATAAATATATTACAATATTAATCTTTTTTAAAAGAAAGTGTTTATGATGTTTGTGTTTTCTATTATTCTTTTTTTATCATAAAAATTTTCATAATCTTGAACAATAAAGCAGGGTGAACATATTTCATATTATCATATTTGTTGATCATTTACCTCTCATTTGCCTCTTATTTTCTTATTTTTTATCACATTGAAAATGCCATTATACAATGTATTTTAAATATAAATTAATTTCAATTGAAAAATTCTACATAATAATATATACTAAAATTTTTGTATATAATTTTATTTTAATATTATTAAATAAAATATTTATCGAATTTGAATTATTATTAGACAACATTTACTAGAAGTAATATTAAGCAATTAAATAAAAAAAGTGTCAAAATTAAGTAAAATTTACAATAATAATATATATTAAAATTTTATACTTAAATTTATATTATTTTAGGGATATAAAATATTAATTTTTATTATAATCCAATTATTATTGGGTAATATTCATATTAAGTAACTTTTTACAATTAATATTTAAAAAGGTGTTAACATTAGAATTTTTGTATAATTAGTAATTTGCATAATTATTTCTTTATAATTAATAGAATTAAAATTGCAAATAGTTTCTGTTGACATATTTATATACTATTTTAGTTTATAATTAAGGTTAAAGGTTTTAAATAGATATTTAAATTATAAATATATCTTTACAATTTTTTATTGTTTTTTTATAAAAAAATTTATTATTTTTATTTAATGATAACTACTTACTTATCTAAAATTTCTCTTACTTACTTCAGCTATGGATTCTTAAATAGTTAAAGAATATATTCTAAAAATTTTAAGTTTTGCCTAAACATCTGTGGTTTTGCCTAAAGCTTCAAAGTTTGATTAGCTTAAGAATCGAAATGATTGACACTAATTAAATTATTAAAAATTTTGCCACAATACTAATTTTTGTATTTTATATCCCTATAAATAATCAGTATAAGGAAAGTATACGAAAATAATACGTTTAAAAAACGTATAAAAATGTAGAAAACAGTATAATAAATTCGTAAATAATTCTGTATACAAGATACTGAAAATCGACTTTTTCCGTATGCAAAAAAATACGGAATTTATATGTCTAATCAGTATAATGTATACGTAATCTTTGTTAAATTTTATACGTCAAATCAGTATATTGTATACGTTACTTTTGCATAGATTTTATATGTTTAACCAGTATATTATATACGTTATAGATATACGTAATTTATATATAATTTTATAATAGTAATGCTAGCCAATTTATATAATTTATAATTTATAATTTATGATACTAATGCAAA